CAGCTCCCGTTGCAAACATAAGTAGGATAGCATAGCAGAGGCGAAAACATAAAAGCAAAGCGCACACACATCTGAGAGCAGCACCAGTGGAGAGAAGGAAAAAAAAAAAGATTGAATTTCTCAGATTTGGGAATGAAAGAAACTGGAGCTTGAACGAACAGTAATCTTCCCAAGTAGCATCCGCCGGAGATTGATGAGACCAGTGGACCAAGATTTGCGTGGCAGCTTGATTACCTTGCAGAACAAATCGACGAGCAAGAATAGTTTTCGGAGTCAGTTTTAGAGAACCTTGATCATCCACGCTCGGCAGAGATGAGACCTCAGGCACTTGGAGAGCTCCGCACCGCTTTAACTGAGATACGTGGAATACAGGGTGTATCTTGGCGTCGGCCGGCAACTGCAACTTGTAAGCAACGACACCCACTTTAGCCAACACCAGGTAAGGACCAAAAAATCGTGGACCCAATTTGCCACCCTGCCGTCCGACCACCGATCCCTGCCGAAAAGGCTGCAGCCTGAGATACACACGATCCCCCACCTGAAAAGAACGTTCCGAGCGATGCTTGTCGGCATGCTGCTTCTGTCGGTTCTGGGCCACCGTCAAATTGTGGCGCAAGAAGGTGACGAGCTGCTGCTGGCGAGCAAGACGGTCTTCCACAGCACCCACGGGCGACGACTCCACCCGCGAAAGACCGAAAAAAGACGGAGGAAACCCATACAAAGCTTCAAATGGCGTGAGACGAATGCTAACCTGAAAGTGCGTATTGTAGCACCATTCCGCCAATGTGACCCAATCTGCCCAGTCCTGAGGTTGATGAAAGGTCATACAATGAAGGAAATCTTCCAAGCACCGGTTCACCCGCTCAGTTTGGCCGTCGTTTGTGCGCGGCAGGCGGTGGAATAGTGAAGATCAACATTCTGCAATCGGAAGAACTCTGTCCAGAAAGAACTCATGAAAGTGGAGTCCCGATCCGACACAATCGTCTTGGGCATACCGTGAAGTTTGAAAACACCATCAAAGAAAACCTGGGCGACGGATTCGGCAGTGTAAGGATGAGATAGAGTGAAGAAATGGTTGTACTTGGTGAAACGATCGACCACCCCAAACAAAATTTCCTTCCCCTTAGAACGCGGTAACCCCTCCACAAAATCAATGCTAATGTCCTGCCACGCCTGACGAGGAATGGGTAGGGGATGAAGTAGTCCGAGAGACGCGATGGCTTTGGCCTTGCATCGACTGCACACATCACAAGCCTTCACCCATGCCTGCACAGCCGCCTTCATCCCAACCGAGTAGAAATGTGATTTGAGCCGTTGGTAAGTGCCCTGTACCCCCGAATGGCCTCCCACAGCCGAAGAATGAAATAATCTCAGCAACTTCTCCCTCATATGCCCAGCAGAGCCCACCACAATGGAACCCTTATACCACAAAACACCCTGAGAATAAGACCATAAAGAAGGCCCCGACGGACTAAGTGAGGCTGCAGCTATCCGATCAGTGACCCTTGGATCCCCCACATACGTCTTCTCGACCTCCACCATCCACTATGGAATAACTGTAGAAAGGGCAGAACAACCAGTCACCTCCTCCCCTTCAAACCGCCGAGAGAGAGCATCGGCTGCCCCATTGAACTTACCCCGCCGATACTTAATCTGAAAATCCAGCCCCAAAAGCTTAACAAGCCCTTTCTTTTGGATTTCCGTATGAATCTTCTGTTGAAACAGAAACTTCAAGCTCTCGTGATCAGTAAGTATTGTGAAAGGGCGGCCCTCCAAATAATGGCGCCATTGCTCAACCGCCATAAGAACCGCTAAGAACTCTTTCTCATAAGTGCTTCTTCCTTGGTTCCGCACTCCAAATGATTTACTGAAATATGCAATGGGTCGGCCTTGCTGAGAAAGAACAGCCCCTGCCCCTGTCCCACAAGCATCCGTTTCCAACGTAAAAGGCACAGCAAAGTTGGACAGGGCCAACACGGGAGCTTCGCTCATAGCAGTCTTCAATGCAAGAAAGGCCGAATAAGCTTCTGCTGTCCATGTGAAAGAGTTCTTCCTCAACAAATCAGTAAGCGGCCGACTAATAATACCGTATGAACTTCCGATAATACACAGTGAGGCCAAGAAACCCCCGGAGAGCCTTGACAGAAGTCGGTGGTGGCCAATTCAGCATTGTCGCAATCTTACTCGGCTCAGTAAACACCCCTGCCTCCCCAATTACATGCCCGAGGTATTCCACCTTAGGTTGCCCGAAAGAGCACTTCGACAATTTGGCAAATAGCTGATGCTTGCGAAGCAATAGAAGAGTTTGGTGAAGATGCTCCTGATGGAGAACAGCCGACGGACTGTAAACCAAAATATCGTCGAAGAAGACCAATATGAACTTGAGAAGATGGGGAGCAAACACATGATTCATAAGGGCCTGAAACGTCGCCGGCGCGTTGGTTAAGCCAAACGGCATAACCAGAAATTCATAATGGCCCTGGCTTGTACGAAAAGCCGTTTGTGCCGATCCTCCATCTTCAGTCGAATTTGATGGTAACCCGCCCTCAGATCCAGCTTCGAAAAAAACCTAGCTCCATGAAGTTCGTCCAGCAAATCATCAATAATAGGAATGGGGAATTTGTTTTTGATGGTGATGTAGTTGAGAAGATGGTAATCCACACAGAAACGCCATGACCCGTCCTTCTTCCCAATCAATAAAATAGGAGCCGCATAGGGACTTTGGCTAGGCTGAATGAACTGAGATTCATGCATCTCGCCGACCATTTTATCGACGATAGCTCGCTGATGGTGGGGAACACGATAAGGCCGGACATTTATGGGTTTGGACATGGGGTCAAGAGGAATGGAATGGTCAAATTGGCGGGGTGACGGAAGAGTAGTGGGAGTGGAAAACACATCGGAGAACTGGTCAAGCAAAGGTTGAAGGAAGGAGGGGGTAGGAGCAGAAGAAGAAGAAGAAGGGGTAGCAGGTGAAAGGGAGAAGAGATGACCAGTAAATTGGGCGACCTTTTTCTTCAGCAGCTTGTGGAACGATTTGCCCGACAACAACTTACACTGGGCTTCCCCCACAAGGCCCTGCAAAGTCAGCTGCTTCCCTTTCCATTCAAACGACATCTGCCATTGTTTGAGATCCAATTGGATTGGGCTAACTGATTCCAGCCAATCGAGGCCCAATACCAAATCGTGAGCCCGCAAGTCTAGAGTGCGTACAGCAAACGCAAACTCGGTGCCCTGCATCTTCCAATGGAAATCGTTACAGACCGAGTTACTGAGTAACGATGACCCGTTCGCCACTTTGACCCGCATTGGCGGTGCCGAGTCGAGGCGGCAACGTAACTCGGAAGCTCGAGACTCACTGAGAAAAGTGTGACTACTTTCGGTGTCGATTAGAACGACTATCTCATGGCGACCGACCCTCACCGGAATCTGCAATGCGCGACCCGTCGATCCCGATCCCATAGCTTGCAAAGAGACCTCAACATCGTCGACACCAACAACCGGCTGGACCAGATCTACGGTCTCCTAATCACTGGCTTCAATCGACTCGTCTGCCTGAAGCACTTGGATCTGTTTCTTCTTCGCACAGACATGTCCGTAAAAATACTTATCCCCACACTTGAAGCAGAGGCCTTGATTGCGAGGATTGAATGGACGATCGGAAACAACAGACGGCGATGAGGTAGATTCAGACTGAAATTTCTTCGGCGGTGGGGTAGGGGATGGGGGCAACCACTTCAATGGCGGCCGATTCTTCTTTTTCCTGGCCGCGATTGACATTTCTTCGAGACGAGCTTGATGAAAAGCGAGGGGCAGCGTCCGCGGCATCAACATCTGAACTCGAGGCTGGATTTCCTCATCGAGACCGCTGAGAAAACTCATGATAAAGTATGATTCCGTAAGATTGGGGTTCAATCGCAACATTCGAGCTCGGAGATCCTCAAATTCCTCCTGGTAATTCGACACTGAAACTTCCTGCTAGAGTTTGTTGAACGCCCCGACGATGTTGAGCTGATCCTTATCGCCAAAACGATAGAGAAGATCAGAGACGAAAATGTCCCATTGGAAGAACTGACGATTGCTGGACCAGCCTTCATACCAGATATTCGCTCGTCCCTCCAAATACATGGAAGCCAACTCCACCTTCTCCGCGTCGGGGATAGAATGGATCTGGAAATACTTCGCACACTTCCTGAGCCACGCGTGCGGATCGGTACCATTGAAGAAGGTGAGATCGAGGCGAGGATAATGATCCGCCATCGGTGAGCGCCGGTGTTGATGGCGGCTGAAACTCCGATCGCTCGGTTCAACCGTGTTGTGAGGAGAGGACGAATGGTTCAACAACATCTGCAGTGATACTTCAATCTTGTCGAAGGACTGGGAATGGCAAAGTTGTGTGTCCTGGAGATGGAGCTCATCTGTTCGTCGACGGAAGTCATCTGCTCCTCAAGCACAGAGAGGCGAGTATTGTGAGTTTGTTCTGGCGCCATTGTTGCTGGAAGAAAGGCTCCGAATACCACTTGTAAGGGTCAAGGATCGATGATCTTATTCCAGCGAAACAGAGAAGCAGAATTACAGAAAGGAAAGAAGAATGTTTGTCTAACTAACTATCAATCTCAGAGAGAGAGTTTACACAATGTCCAAAAGATCCCAATCCCAATCCCAACCCTCTTATCTCTATTTATACAATCACCTCCTGTCCAGCTTAATTCCAGCTATCACCCACTTGCCTCAACCGCCCTAGGACATTACAAAAGTTATCTTTGAATTTCCTGATATCTAAACCTCTTTGCTCACTAGGTTTGGCTGGCGACTTAAAAAAAGCAATGAAAGATTGAAAGCCAATTATAATTGAGGTATCTCTACTTGCCCAGCAATTCATCAATGATTTCGCTCAACACCTCTAATAGATTTTTCTGATGTGCTTTACTACCGTTCTATGTACACACATATGATGCAAATAATCACAGGGTATACATTTTGACCCAAGTATTTATCTAATGGACGAAGACAACAAGTCACCAGCTTGTGTGCCTGATAAGATTGGAGAAACAACTCTATTCTCTGTGGAAAAATCAACGTTAGGGATTGATCCCTCAGGTAAAATGGAAGACAGTAGTCCTAGTGTTAGTGACATCCATGCCAACGATATGAATGGCTCTCACGAGAACACAGTTGCAGCAGAAGATAAATCTGGCTACAAAAACTTGGGCCGCAGGCAAATTGCTGAAGGTTCATAAAGTATTCATGAAAATGAAGGTGAGTTTGATTCCCTCTCCCCTCCCATTTCTCAAGATAAGGCTTATAGATAAATTTGAACTATGTCTATGTTGCTGCTGCCATTTTAGTTGAGACAGTTGGTCCTACCAAAGATGCAAGAGAAGGGAAAAACCTTTCTATTAAGAGAGCAAAATCTGGTGGGGATCCGGTAATTATACCCATAATTCCGAAGATGGCTGAATTTGATCATAAGGTTTTTAACTTTCTTCTCACCATTTGTAGTCTGCTTTTGGTTTTATAAATACTCTGTCTATTTTTTCAGTCTGTTCCCTTTCTTGTCCAGGCATTACTTGAAGAATGGATCTTTGCTCGTATACCTAGTGATAAATACCAAGTCAAGGTAGTAAGGGTCCTTGGTTCTCATTTTTCCAACCATGGCAAAGGGTTACAAGTATAGTGTACATGAGTTTTTATCTAAAATACGCCCATTCATTGTATGGAGAACAGAAAAACTCTTAGGTTATATAGATGTATCATCATATTGTGAACTAATAGTTACTGAAACTTCTTAAAAGGATTTCAGCTTTGGTGTGTGCATCTTTGTTTTGGCAATTTCAAGTTATCAGTGCAAGTCTCACTGTTAGTCCGTTATGTGAGTAGTTTGGCAGTGAATTCTTTGTCTAAAGTTTCCACACCTTGTCATGTTTTCAGGACAAAGACAGGCTGATTGCCAATTTAAAAACTCTCCAGGACTATCTTTGCTCTTTCACTTCACAGGTATGTTGATAGTCAGGTCTATGAGTCTCCGTTGAAGACCATCTGTTTGACCTTTTAACATTTTCTTAATTTCCTCTCTTGAAAGGGTCTGACCGTTGCTAACATATCTGCCAGAACCTTCCCTCAAACATTAGATTGGCTCCACGGTTATCCTTTTCAGGTAATGTTGTTGTCCTGAGATGAGCACCCAGAAAAGGAGCTTATTACTCAGTAGACCACTCCAGTTGAAAGGAATACAACTGATCCCCACCTACTTGGCTCTCTATAATACTTCAACACTGTTCTTTCGTGACATAATTTGGGATCACTTATTATTCTCATGTTGGTAGTCAATATGTAGGGATTTTCCTCCTGTGTCTAAACTCCTCTCCTTGGCAATTGATCCTTCAAGTGTATTGAGCAAGAAATTTCACCAGTGTCCAATGAAAACGATCGGCAGCCAGCTCAAAATTGAATTACTTGAAAAGATGTAGCTTGGGCATTGACAGGTATGAAATTGGACCACAGCAATTGCTTTTCACTTTCATGGGCTATCAAGGAACAATGCAACTCCTCTGCCCAGCTTGTGAATTGCGAACTAGTATTGCTTTTGTTGTTTATTGGAACTCTTGCTCCCCTCCAGTAATGAACTTTCTCCGACTAGATGGGCTTATAGTAGCTTTGTGTTTTCATGATTCCGGCATTAACTTCAGCTTATCGTTCTTTGCGCTAATTCGCCTCCTCATTCTGCTCTCTTAACCAGTAACTTCTTAGTTGTACTACTTCAAACGCACTTCTCACAAGAACGCTTTGTACTCGATGCGGTGTTTTGAAGAAGAATGACCTGTTGCAGGTGGCTTCCGGAGCACGCAAATGGGGCTTTACCTAGATAAAAACTGAAGTCCATATCACCCGAAAGTACCCCACCCGGCAACAGCCTCAAGTGCAAGAAGTGCGAAAAGCTGAAACATGGTTTTAAGAGTTCATTCCGTGTGGAGGCAAAAGAAAGATAAGGTTTTTTTTTGGCGGGAAGAAGGGAATGCTATACGTTCCAATTTGACTATGATCAAATGTGTAGTAACAAAGACAGTATGTGTAGTTTTGTGTACAAATTTTGACAAAGGAGTGGACTTTAGTTGTGAAATAGACGTAATGACTTGACTTCAACACAACTGTGTGAAGGCCTCCGTAAGCACCATCAGATCTCATAATCCCATAGCTCTTCAAGGGACTTGTATGGGCTGGTTGTGTCATCCACAAGGAACTACCTTCTCATGATCTTCCACTCGTCGAGTCCGTCAATTTCATTGATATCTTGATCGTCAAGTTTTAGGTTGATCGCCTCCATGTTCTCTCTAATACGTCTATGGTTTGAAGCTCTCCATGATGAAGCTGACTCCCTTGGAGAGGCCCTACTGAAGGGAGACTTGGGCCGGAGTAGGGCTGAAAATTACCCCGACCCGTCCCTGACCCTGTCTGACCCACCACTAAAGAGTTAAGATGTATAACTGACATCAAGAAATGAAAACTATAAAACTTATATGACCTTGATATAAACTTGACATGAGCTTTGATATGATCCCAATTGGATCATCCCACACATCACCATTGCTTGAGGAAGAAGCTGTTTCCAATTACACGACAAGTTCTGAATTTTGGCCAAGTATTGAAACCGAGTCAGGAAGCCTACTTTGGGGCCTTGTTTCTCTTGAATGGTTCAATGGAAATGCAGATGGGATGGCTCGCTTTGAAGATAAAGAGTTCATCTATCCAGTGATGTGCTTTGTAGCTCGAGGAGAGGTCTAGAAGGTTGTGTTCCAGTCGTTCAAACATGCTACCTGGACAGCTCAAAACTGCCAGAATTTTACTATGTCTGGAACCAGGTGCAGGAAGGCAGGTTTGGGGCTTCTTGCACGACGATGGAAGTGGAACCAGGTTTTGAGGATTATTCCACATGGAAGCTTGCAATTTTTACTACAGAGACGAGGGATTGGCTGACCCAAACGAGGCCTGGAAGGTTCTGAACGAGAGCCTTGAAGTTGGGATGGAGACACATCATCACTTACCTTCCAAGGCAGCCCTGTTTTCCTTGTTTGACACGGGTTGTGTTTATGAGTTGGATTTTGTTTCGTTGTTATGTTAGAATTAGAATTCGATTTCCTTGTTAGTTTATAGTTGGAATTAAGTTGTCTGTTGGCTATTTAAAGGCTTGAATGCCTCGTGTAGAAGGACATGAGTTGTTGAATAAAAATTGTGACCATTGTCACCAAATACTTGTGTGTTGGTTGCGTCCCAGCAGCGAGTTTGCTTCGTATCGATTGAAACCACATCAATCGTGGTCGAGCTTCGACTTAAACCAATCGAGCCTCTTCCCAAGTGTGAAGTTGCACCTTTGGTCCGTTTTATTTTCGTTTTAAGTTGTTGAAATTCAAGTTTCATTGGAGGAGAATCGAGTTACGCGTATTGATTCCTAACGAGTACGACTGAGCTCGTATCAAGTGGCATCAGAGACTTGGTTCAAACTCAGTGGCCAAGACGAAAGGAAGCAGTGAAGAAGTCGCGCATTGGACAAGATCAAGGGGCTCTGTTTCCAGCGACCCTGCTGTGCGTCGTCAGAAAGCAGAGGAAAAGGCAGCATTGGAATTCAAAACTCCAATTGAGGGCTCGACAATGGCGGGGCAACAGTTTAACATGGAGGACTTCCTAGCCCAGATTGATGCACGATTCCAGGCTCAACTGGGCCAGTTCAAGCGAGACATCGACCAGCGGTTCGATGCAATAGCGCCGCGGGACAATCGAATGAGGACAGGGGAAGCTCCCGCCGGCGAAGTTCCAGCTGGACATCCTGTCTTGTTGGAACGAATCGAGGAGATTGAATGACGTCTGGTAGTTGCAGAACCAGATCATGAACGCCAACAACGAGGGCGACGTGATCAGTATGAGGCAGAACTTGGCATCCCTCAAGGAATCAAACTGTCCGTCCCAGTTTTTCACGGAACGATGAATGCAGCCACGTATCTTGATTGGGAACGGAAGGTTATTCTTTTTTTTTTCAATGCGGACAGTTCAGCGAACAACAAAAGCTGGCAATGATCACATATGAATTCGCGGATTATGCTGCCCAATGGTGGGAGCAACTTCAGATTCGTCGTCGACTGAATTTGCAACCAGCGGTGGCAACCTGGGATGAACTGCGTGGGTTAATGAGGGAACGGTTTGTTCCAGGATACTACCTACGCGAAATTCATGACTCGTTACAGAGTATTCGCCAGGGTTCAAGAGGGGTGGAAGTTTATTACAGAGAGCTCGAATTGCTCTTACTGCGAGCAGATGTTCGCGAGGACCGGGAAGCAACCATCGCACGGTTTTTACATGGGTTGAACCGCGAAATCCGAAACGAGGTCGAGCTAAGACCTTTCATGGACCTGGAAGAAGCTGTTCATCTCGCCTCAAAGGTTGAGAAGCATCAAAAGGCCTCGACAGGACGAAAGTTTCCACCAGCCACGAAGACAGTGACAGAGCCGAATTATGACATTAACTCACCTCAACCATGGACGGATGCAGCGAAATTAGTCCCCAGAGGTGTTAATCCGCTTTCCACAGAGCGATCGGGTTCAATCTAGTGTTTTAAATGTCACGGCAGAGGCCATAAAGCCAACCAATGTCCGAACATTAAGGCCTTGATCTTATGCGACGGCGAATACATCTCCGACGAAGAAGCTGAACACAAAGACAAGGAACGAAGCTCGTCGGATGAAGATGTAGACGAAGAAGTTGAGGCTGAGTCTCTACCTTTTTTGTCGAGAATGAATTTGAGGGCCTTAACGATGGATGGTGATACCAGCGACGACCAACAGACTAACCTGTTCCACACAAGGTGCCTCGTCGGAGGCCAATGTCTATCGGTGGTCGTCGACGGGGGCAGTTGCACAAACGTAATCAGTCTCGATGCTGTCCGGAAATTGGGATTGGAGACTATCAAGCATCCCGAGCCATACAGCCTTCATTGGCTCAACGACTATGGCGCTATCAAGGTTACAAGGCAGGCGCGAGTTAATTTTGCGATTGGTTCGTACAAAGACGAGCTGGTGTGTGATGTTGCGCCAATGCAGGCAGCACATCTACTGCTTGGAAGACCTTGGCAGTACGATCGCGCTGTCACCCATGACGGTGGCTCTAATTGCTACCGTTTCAAGCACAATGGCAAGCGTATGTTGCTCAAGCCATTGTCCCCGTGGGAAGTTCGCTCCGATCAGCAACAAATGGCGTCGATGCGAGCTCGAGCAGAAGGAGAAATCGGGGGAATACGAAAAAGAACGGGTCTGGTGCGTGGGGGTTTTATGCTGACTGCCCTGAGGAGACCTACTCGGCCTCGACTGAAGCGGCCGGAGTGCCCTGTTTTCTTTCTCCGACGCGGCAGGGGAAGAGAGAGGGTGAATTGGGTGAAGCATGGGGAAGCGACTCGAATCAATCTTTCCACGCCACCATGGTCGTTTCCACCCCATGAACGTGTAAAACCGATCAGAACATACCGAACAGCCCCGAGGAGAAGACGCCCAATTTGGCGATTTGGGTTCAAAAAGAACAGAACATCGATCACGGGAAGTCTGAATCGGTTGTGGAGATTGGAGTTGATCCGACGCCATTAAACACCTGGGTTCGATTTCTAGTGTCCCAAGGATGGTGTAGAAGCAAAGAAATCGACTCGAAAGGGCCCGAGTTGATTTTCCCCAATTTCACATTCGGGTCGCCGGATTCTGGAATTTCATCGCCGGATTCTGGAAATTCGAAACTTACCGGCGGCGGGAAACTCTGTTCTTCTAATTGGCGACGAATGGAATGGTTTCTTGGGCTGGAAGTTCTTGGGATCTGCTCATGGGGGCGAGGCGAATCCATCTCAAGCGAGGAATTGGACCTTGACGTCCTCACGAAGAAAGACCCAAAATTGATTCTCTCGCAGGAGTTCTCGTCGGCGCCGGAAACTGGGGATTTCGTGTGGTCAACACTGGACCCTACGAAGTCGATTGTTTGCGTGGGAAAGGTCCATTGGAGTCCCACCAACACATTGAGCCTTGAATCGTGGCATACAACAGCCGCTTCAAGAGTTGACGAAGTTTTGACGTGTGAATCGGCTAGTTCAAGGTATTCCTTTTACGATCCGATTTGGGAGGCTTTCATTGACAATTTTAGTTTCAGGTCAAGGCAAGCTTTGAGGTCAAAGATTTTTAAAGGGGGAGGGCCTGATATGATCCCAATTGGATCATCCCACACATCACCATTGCTTGAGGAAGAAGCTGTTTCCAATTACACGACAAGTTCTGAATTTTGGCCAAGTATTGAAACCGAGTCAGGAAGCCTACTTTGGGGCCTTGTTTCTCTTGAATGGTTCAATGGAAATGCAGATGGGATGGCTCGCTTTGAAGATAAAGAGTTCATCTATCCAGTGATGTGCTTTGTAGCTCGAGGAGAGGTCCAGAAGGCTGTGTTCCAGTCG